GGATTCGATTCTCAAACTTTTGTTTGAGCATCTATTTGCATGCACTAGGTTTCATCTCCAGTTCCACATTTAGCTTTCAAAACTTCAGCACAGCCTCAGAAAGAAACTCATTTTGCTAGTCTGTCTTGCATGAAGTTCCTTTACCAGAGCCTAAGTAATACAATGTTTCTTTTAGGACTGTACCATTACACACCCGCATGACTCAACAGAACTTTAACCAAGCTTAAAGCAAAATCTGATGTTCAATCTTTGTTCACACATTCATGAATTTAAAATGGCACAGGAGCCAGGGTAGCTCAGTCAGTACAGTAACTTGACTATGGACTCGAAGTCCAGGGTTCAATCCCCAGCAGGGGCAGAAGATTTTTCCTCTAGCCTCTGCATCCAGACTGGCTCTGCGGCCCACCCGGCCTCCCATCCAATGGGTACCAGGGTCCTTTCCTGAGGGTAAAGTGCGGCCCAGGCGTGACGCTGACCACTCATCCCTATCTAGCACAGAAGTTGAGGAGGAGGAGTAGGAGCTATACCTTCTCTCCTCCCATGACATATAGCAGGACAGCATTGTGAGTAATATGTCTTGTGAAAATTTTCAACTGAAAATAATATAAATTATTGTGGGCAGTTTGGAAAGGTGTCACCCTCCATGGACTAACAGTTAGCATGCTCGCCACTGGATCCAAGGTTCACGGGTTCAGAACCGGCCAAGGTCGATGGATTTTTAAAGGTGATAAAAATCATAGCACAACTTCCTTCGGAGGGAAAATAAAGCCAGCAGTGCCATGTCATAGACTCACAGCATGTAAAAGAACCTTATGAGCATGAACGAGATATTTCGCAAGCAAAAATTCAACAGCCATTTCTCACCCAAGTCTCTCCTGATTCTCTGCTAGATGGTTCTAGCAGACAAAAATTAGGATTGAGTAGAAATTGTGCAGAGGCAGTGGGCTGGTCACTCACTACTCACAAATGCACACTTCAAAGACTAGGAAACCTCCTTAAGGAGGCAGCAAAGACCCACACTGGGTTGTAGAGCCAAGGAAGAAGGAAGGTGGTTTGGACAGGCCTGATAGAAACCAGAAACCTAAATACACAATGCACCCTCCCTTTGCTCTGAGAATGAACAAGAGAAAACAAAACACAGGCAACAGAAAGAACGAAGATGCTGTGCACTATCAGTGTGCCTGGCAGTTAAAACCACTGAGTAATTAAAAGCAGTTACCATCAACTCTGGACATGAAACGTTCAAGTCATACAATAAAGTATAACGTCTCAGAAACATCACATATTTAACATATATTTTTCATTTCAATTCCGCAGGGAAATATTTTCAAAATAGAGAACTAAACCCAGAGTTAAAGTACATCAAGATTTTTCAGATCCAAAAATCCATGTGCAAGTGTCTCCCTTCTGATACAGATTCTGGATATTTAGGATTGTGAATTTTACTTTGAAATCTGAAGCAATAAACAGAAAATGTCTCAGCAACCCTGTGAGAGGATGGAACAAAGAACCACCCACAACAGCTGTGCACATGCACCATGCTCATCTTGTCCCGCTCTCAGAGAGGCACACGCAAAACTGTCTTACACCGAGAACTGCGTCCTTCATGAAACATTTGGGGGCCACAATTTTTCAAAAAATAGCACAAAGTTGTAAACCAGTCACACATACAAATCTGCATTTTGTGGTTAAAATCAGTTAAATAACGACATGCTCATAAAACATTTTCCATCAGTGACAGCAACACAGAATACAAAAACAACCATATTCCCGACAACGGCAAGAACCTACGTCATAAATAAAATGGATTAAAACATTCACCATCACTACGCAAGGTTTCAACTGTAGTGATATGAACAGCAACAATAAAAAATTGAATCACATATTGTTGCTAGAAGCAAAACAAAAAAAAAAAAAATGGAATGAAGGCTGTATTCGGGGGCAAACCAGCCCCAGTGCTCGCTTGCACCAGGGCTTCTACACATTAATATTACACAAATGAATTATTCCATTTAATTCAGTCTTCTCTGACCTGGTAATTAGTTCTTGCAACATTCTTCTCGTAACACAGACCAACATAACCCACGGCATACTATCCAGTCTGACAAACGAAAACAAAAGAGCAATATTGCTTCTCTCATCACCATCTCAACACACACGTCAATTCCAGACAAACTGCATCTTATGCAGACTGCATGGTAAATTATGCTAAAAGAACAAATGTGCTTCGTAACACATTACGAAAATGTTAAATCCTTTTGTTCTGTCGATAAATTAGTAACTTACTGAAAAATATAGAACTGGAAGGTTTTGGTAGTATGCATATATATAAAAAAACTTCTGAAAAGGTTGTTGGTCTGATTCAAGCTCTATTTGTGATCCTGCAATATGCAAAATGTCATGTCCGCTAAGTCACGACTAACTGCTAGCTGTGGGAAATAAGAGATCTGAATGAAGCAGTACTTTTTGTCTGATAAACCAAAATCTGTGTCTCCACCTCAGTCTTTATGTTCTAATCAACTTTCACCTTCAATACCTTACAAACTATAATATTCTTGCATGTGTACTTACTTTAAATAAAAGATTATGGGTATTATTTCAAGTTAGCTACCATTTATCTCATCGGACTGCTAATTAATAATACTAATATGAAATGTTCAGGGATGTTAGAAGAGAGCTGGCTGTAAATGCAGTTTGGAATTTGCCCTCTTTCCTTGATATCTGACAAGTCTAAACCAAACCAAGAATGAGATCTGTAATGGCATACTGAGAACACTTGTAATAAATAATAATCTGAATGATGTTGACACAGGATCAATAAAAATATAAGCACATGATTAAGCAAAATTAAAACAAATTTCACCACCAAAGTATCCAATCCTTATCATTCCAACATGCACCGACAGAGTTACTTTCAAAACATGCCACAAAACAAACACCATAAAAAACGTTAACCTGTTTGCAAAATGAAAAAACTCTTATCGCTTGTTAGTTGTGCAAACGGAGAATTCTCAAATACCAGCTACACACACCCAAAATCATAACTGGTCCCCAAATACCTGTAAACTGCATTTACGAGTATATTCACTCAAGGAGTATCATAAAAATATCTGGCTATGTGACCATATACTCTGACATGCAATGACCTAATTTACTGCGCAATATGTACACAAAGCGAATACAAACAGGAAGGTCATGACATTCTGTCAGTCTTACATTAATTTAAATTTTGTCCAAATTGTTCCTTTTCATGTTTCATGTGAAACTCAACTTTACTGTACAGAGACCTAATTTAGATCTACAACTTTGACACGTCTTAAAATCATAAATATCTAACAAAAAGCAAAGAAAATTAATTCCTGACTGTATGTGGTACAAATAATAGTTATGTATCAGCAGAATACATGCATAACCTAAAATTAATTTCATCGTTAACATCCTCTTCAGACTGTCGCTAATTCATTTTAAAGTCAGTGTTTTTAAATTTGGGAAAATTCATGACTTATTATGATGATCCATCAACCGGGAATAACATGGCTGAATATCTGAACACACCTACAACACTTTCACAAGGAGAGATGTCAGTCACATAGTCACATATTTTTTAACTGTCACAATGACGGTAAAAAGGACTGACCCAGGCCATGCTTTATCGCCTCCCAACTCCGACCAAAACTTAAAAGAGTCAACATATAGCACCCAAAAGCAATCAATTCATTGTTGCCCATTTGGAAGCAGCACAAAGGTTGGTGCGGGCGCATTTCTGTACCTGTGATACGCTTCATCTTGCGAGGCAACTGTCAACACGGAGGAGCAGTTGGAGCTGATGTGGCAGGCAAGACCCAAGCCTGAGGTGTAACACGCACTGCAGTTCCTATCCTTACAGCTACGAGGGGGGAACAGGGAGTCAGAATAAACAAAACTAAGGGAGTTTACATACTGCATGCACCAGCATCATCCAGCTATCAATCCACGTGCGCGACCTGAAACCTGTTACCGGACGCCGTAATTTTCAATTAATGAATACACACAACTGTAACTGGAATGTAACTGGCTGATGACCTGAAATTCTAAAAATTAAATGTCTGCCGCTTGCAGAAGTTCTTAAATCTTGTTAAGGTATCTTCTGTAAAACAATCAATTGAAGACACAAACGTACAGTTGAAATTTTAAGAAAAAAGCGATGATTTGCACGTGTCTGTGCGAGGAAAATGCATTACCCCAAAGCATACCAAATAAACAGTAACAAATTCATAACTACACAACAGCTCAGTCCTTGAAACGCCAATAGTCGCTTTTCTAATCAAGAAATTCCCAGCCTTTTAGGCAATCTGGATGATCACTGCTCTCCAAACAAGAGCACACAATTCACAATCCTACAAATAATTTTTGCACACGGTGTATGTTCACATAAGTGAAACATTACTGTGCTCATTTTGTTGCTGAACTGTCTCAAAAAATTGTTTGGGCAATAGAGACAATGTCACTGATATGAAACCGCTTAGAAGACGTCATGGTCGAGGGTCGAGCGTGATGCAGTGACCAACGAAGGGCATTAGCATCTGCAGTTGCCCTAAAATGTTCCAAAAGGAATCACATAATCAAAAATTTACAAACTACATCAAGCCAGTGTAAGATTCAGAGATGCTCAACAAATTCACATAAAACAATTTGTATGTAACGTAGATACATTTTAGGCCACCGGCACGTCAGTGTATGTGAACTGATTCAGCATGATGCTAGCACATTCAGTGTCCAGGTGACCAAATGGCAGGAACAGCACACTTTCTTCACATACATGACTCCAATGTTTCACTCTCAGATGAATACGCACGTATCACTTGCATACAGATTTGCTGCAGATGTCTTGCAAGGTAACCACAAGATCCAATATGTGAAGTCAAGGTTATCGCTGTATCTTACCTCAGAAGGCACGCAAGAAAAGCTGCACATTCTACACCTGGCATCAAAATTCAATAAACAAACATCCCACTTGTACATCAGAAATAATACGCGCAGAGAGCGAACAAGTCGGAAAACACCCGCAGCCAACAATTAAAGCGTGGCTGCCAGAATTTGACCTCTGACCTCTGTAAATGGCTGGGACATCCCAGACTGGGGATTTCCCTTGCAGGAAATCAACACCCCATCACTTCACAGCCTGACATTGTCCAATTTTGATTGAAATAGGAATGTGTCAATTTTAGTAAAATTTCATATTTTACCACACACTCTGCAGGGACATAAACGTACCTAACGAGATTAGAAGTTCACTGAACTTCCAAAGTGTTCTTCACGCCATAACATGGGCAGAGACACCAACAGGTTGCTTCGTTAACCGTGGACTTAGACCACTTTTACTCAAAACCAATAACAATGCAACAAAGGTATCCAAGGCCATCGTTGCAATGGCGTGATGAGCAGTCACTTTTGAGCCGACCATTTGGTTACGACCGCTGCAATAATGTCCTAACAACTGCATCAGCCCCACTACTATAACAATGTGTTCTAACAATGACCATAAATAATACATTTTCTAAAAGTTAATGAATCACAAGTTCATCAGAGAGCGTAAACATCACAATCATGTAACATACAATGAAAGAAACAAAAATGAAAGTAACTCCTGTAACTGAAGTTTTGAAAAAGAATAGGAAAATAAACAAACTGCAACAAAATGAAACCAAGGCCATGCAAATTGCTCATTCCTTAGAGAAGAATAAAAACTGTTTCTTTTCGACTCGTCTTTTCATCAGAAGTTGATTGTATCTATATTCATGACGGGGTTCATCATGAACTGAAAGATAATAATGTGAGTCAACTTAATTTCCCTTAAAATGAATTCCAGCTCCATGGTGCAAAGTGCTCAAACACGAAACAAACTATGCGTGTGTCGGCAGACAGGGCAACATTTCTTACCATTTCCCTGGAGTCTCATCTTCACTATCAGATATAGTTATGACAGAAACAGCGGGCGACGGCGTGTCGTGTATCGTAATGGTCTGCTGCCGCCCAGGCACCACTTGCTGAGATAGCTGCCATGAAACCAGAACACACATTCTAAATATTTCAACAAGTGCCAAAAGAATAAGTTTATTACGAAGCGCAATGTTGAGCAAAATTTCAAACAAGACAGATACCTCTTAACATAGGACACCTCAAACCCACTCCTGAGTTTCCCTACTGCCTCTCACCTGCGGGGTCTGTGGACGCTGTTCCAGCTGCTGCTGAATGGCATGGCTATGATGTTTGCCTGTCTGTGGAGCCACTGAACTCTGACCCTGATGATGATGATGATGGTGGTGGTGGTGGGGCTGTGGCTGTTGCTGCCAGTGAGTGTTGTTGCTTGAGACCGGTGAATATCGCCGCCTGCTACTGCTACTGTTTGTATTATAGCCACTGACTGAATCTGCAACGATGAACAGTATTTACTTCCTCGGGCAAAAGTAATGTCAGTAATGAGGACAAGTAAAGCACGTATATCATTTTCAAGAAAGAAACCTATCTAGAAAAAAATACATAAAAATAAATCATCAAAAATAGCTCACATGGCATACATTAACGGGAATGTCTAAAACATGTAACGGGTTTATTCCTGGAACTCTTAATTCTGACAGATCAACCTTCAACACCTGCTCACGTTCAACATAATCTAATTTTATGGGCAAAATAAATTAAAACCAACAGACCTGTTGGGTTTGGAATTTCGGTAAATTAAAATATCCCGTTCGTACGACAGCACGGACGGGATCCCTCACGACAACAGTACCCTGAGGACGTGCACGAAGATGTTTCTCAAAATGGTGTTTTCTTCATTAAGCCAAGTTACACAGCTGGTAGCCCGAGAAGAATTTATCATGTATGCAAAATTCATATTTAAAAATAATCTCCGACTGAAACATAATAATTGAAAACTACCCACACATTACACTTAGCTTCTCCAAGGCACTTTCTGACTGAATTAATGTCTGAAAATAAGTACAGTACACATGTAAAGACAATGAGTTCACGCCTAGAAAACACTGGAAACCCCAGAACAAGACCTCAGCTCAAATTCCCAGGCCTAACCAAAAATGTACGAAGAATGTCTCATTACGTGGCCATCGTACCTGACGGGGGAGTGCCTTCCTTCACTCTCTTCTTGACTGGACTGAGCTGTGTAGGCTCCTTCTTGGCATCCTGCTGAGAGCGGTGACTGGGGACGGTGAGATGGTGATGGTGATGGTGGTGATGGTGATGCGTTGCTTGAGAGGCTTGCTGCTGCTCAGGAAGACCTGTCAGACCGTGCTGATGGTGCGAGTTCTTTGACACTCCTCGCTTGTTAGCCCAGGACCCACTCGCATTTACTACAGCGGCTGATGGGTGGTGATTAGAGTGGTGATCCACAAGTGAAGGGTCATACACTTCAGCAGCAACGTCTACAGGAAAAACGGGTCGGTGCTCCTGAAGTATGGTACCGGAGTCAACGATGAGGGGCCGGCCCCAATCTCCTGCGTCTGACAACAGAGGCTGCTGGATGGCGGCATGCTGCGGTGGGATCTGCTGCCAGGATGGCACGACCATCTGTCTGTTGCCTGGCCACGTCGTCTGCACTGCATTCTGTGGTAACACAGCATTACCAATTACAGACTGAAATAAGTTGTTACAATTTTCCAACTCAACTTCCAGCACCTATCAAGGTTCTTTCAGAATTGTGATCGAGAATAACACTGCATGTTTTGTTTCCTCTTGTTCTGGTACATGAAATAAACTAGGATCCTGTTGAAGTCACATCATATCATCATCCATCAGATATTTACTACCTGCACAGGTTTGTATTAATACCTCCGTGATATGTATTGTGGTACGGAAAATCCTTACAAAAATCTGTAAGCACATACTCAATTTACTATCCCAACCTCCACCAAACATTTAGCAATGAGTTATAAAATCAGTAAACCTAACCACAGATATTTACCCTTCACATCACCACCATTAAAAGAAAAACCTACAATATTTTCAACTCCTCACTTTAATTAACTTCAACTACCTCCTCACTGATCAAGAAATTTAGGTCTATACAGTATTAACAAGAGTACAATAAACATCGAAACTTACGGTGAGCAACATCTGCCGACCACTCTGCTCGACCATTGACACAGGTACATACTGTTGCTGCGCAGCAACCTGGGCAAAACAGAAACACATCTGCCAACAATACTGCACGAACCTAAATGTTGTATACTGTTAACTAAACAAATCAACTTTGCATTTCACGTAGCTGTCACCAGAGTGTCCAAAGAATCTTTCAATTAAATCCATTTGGTAGATTCAATCGCTGTTCAGTAGTCCTCACATGATGTCACTACACCTACATCGCAGTGGGGAGTGAAGCTGAAAAGCAGGAGCCGGGTTCACCCTCAGGCAAATCAAAATACTCAAGACCTGGATAGACCATGTGACAAATTCATGCTTTCAATGATCAACATGCATTAGAAATTTCTGCAAAGCTATTGGCAGTGCACAAAAATGTCTGCGTATGAACTCGAAAGCGTATGTCCACCATGACGCTTAAATACGAGCATGATTCAAATTTCTTACTCACACACAAAGCTGTGAATAGAAGAAAATATTCCTTCAGTATGAAAAAAAAACTTTTCCTCAAGGTATTTCCATAACTGCTGCTTTGGAGAAAAAAAATTGACTCCACTTGGTTATTCACAATACCACCAGTGAATGGGAAAAATACACGACATCAGTTCCTGTGCTCTCGTTAACTGCCGGTACAAACGATTATCACTGTGACATGGCTATAAAATGTTTCCATCAATAAACAAGACTGTTCATTACCTGCTGCGATATGATTGGAGGCTGAATCTGCAGCTGGGGTGGTGGTTGTTGTGCTACTACTGTAACATGTTTCGCAGGCGAACCCATTCCTTGATAGCCTGGTGGGCAGAGGATAGAAGAAACCAGCTGATGCTGGTGGAACGGGTCCGCCCGAGCAGCTCCTGTATACTGACGGGCCACAGATCGACCATTGTAAAGCTGATACTGGACAATTTCAAATAGCATATAAATTACTGGAAAGTTTCACAAAGTACTTAATGAAAGTCTAATTACATTTACAGCATAAACTAAGGATATCCATCCCAATTAAATATTTGTCTCATAACCAATATTCCACCACTTATTGGTGTTAACACATTATCCCATAGAAGAACATAGAAATACTGATGGTGATTACAATGCGGCGCATGAAGCCACCTTCCTGTATCATGAAGGACAAGACAGGCCTAGTGCTGAATGTTTCACGTGCAGAGCAGATAAACTACCTCGTTCATAGGCATACATAATACTAAAATATTAATGTACCAATTAGCACACATTTTAATGCTTTATGAGAAAAGCACGGTACTATTTTTTCTTGAAATTAATCAGGAATAAATTAATCAAAGTATTCTACAAGGCTCTTTAAACCAATTCATACATCTTAAAAAACATTAGAACATTACATAGAACAGGGGCTGAAACAATGGAAAGTTATTTATCAAACAAAAAGATCTGGCAAATAAAATTGAAGTAATGAATAAACAAAATTACAATTAACAAATCAAACTAAAGTGTATAAAAAGCTTGAAAATAACGAACCAGGTTGTCATAGGTTGTGGCTCTCTCTCTGACCAGGCGTTGTACCTGATTCGTGAGCTGATTGTTGAATGTTAGGGTCACATTTCCATTAGAACTAGGGACAAAGTTGGCAACAAGGGGTGGCGCTTGCTGTGCCGCCTGGTGATGTGAACTGGAACCCGAGTTGTTGTAACCATTCCGACGACAGACCTCCATCATTTGAACGCTTGCCTTCACATTGTTGCAGTGTGCATAATCCACCAGGTGAGCCAAAGTCACAAAGGCATGATTCAACGCTTCACCGGGTGTGATACGTCTTTCCTAAAGGGATAACAATACGATAAAATGGGTCGGTCCTTGGACGCGACACGACATGTAGCACGTGATATTCACATGAAAAGCATCGCGAACCCTTTGACAAGTACAAACAAAATGGTACACTCAGTACCACAGTGGTACATGCAGTCTGAGAACACTTGAAAGTTTTCCAGTATCTGTGCCCCATGCCACAAACAGAAAGAAAATTTTTGTTATGCTAAAGAATACAAGCATCTGATGGTTACATCAAGAAAGTCACTCTGGAACAGTCTTCATCAAAGGGTTAAGACCACAAAATCATACAGTGCTGAAATTCCTCGAACAAGATTCAACCTAATGTGTTTGCAATTAGACCACCAAATATTCTTGTCCATCTCGGACATTTCTCATGGAAACAAATCATACAATTACTTGCTTCTGCTGAAACTGCATATGAAGATACACAGTGGTAAATGTTATGTATCATTTCAACATTTTGCAAATGGAATGGACCAACACGTGTCACATCACACGCATACGCTACAACTTACGCCTGCGAGTGTATCAACAGAGGGTTACCAGCACATTTTAAGATTTGAATTCAAAATAAAGGCTCCGTCATGCATACGCATACGAAGACCTAGCAACTGGAAAAACACATAAGCATTTGTATTTTCACTGTAACTGTGTCTAAAACAGCACAAAGTAACGCAACAGTACGGCCGACTAAAATTACGCGAGTGCAGCTGTGTTTACTGCGGAACGTACTGAAGTTCATACAGAAAAGCCATAACAGAGCATCAAGTTTTGATATAATAAAATGAATCATGCAATTTTCTTTGATTAAAAACTATACAGTGACATAAATATTGCTACCTGGTCCATGGTGAGCATTCTTTTCAGAAGATCAATGAACTCTCTCCTGTCCGCCTTTTCTGCAAGCAGTTCTCCTCCCTCGAGATCTGTTGGCACATTCACCTGCCCAATGTCATCCAGGCAGTTGAAGATATACTTCCGAGCCTCCTTGGACTTGATACCAGTTTCAGCTTCATGTTCTTCAGGAGTCTGATCATCCAAAGAAATGGGGTAAGTCTAAGACTTAAAGACGAGCGTCGAAACAGAATAAAATCATAATCGAAGTTATCTAAAACGATTCTGCCTGCAACTTTTGTCAGAAATAAACACCGCACTATGTGAGAAATAAAGGAAGGCTACAAAGCCCATATTATATCAGCCCTATGTTCTCAAGAGGAATAAAAGGAATTAATTAACCAACCAACTAACTAACTAACTAACTAACAAAGCCCATAACGTTTCTGCAGCTTTTAAATAAGTAACATGTGCAATACAATTCTTAAACATGAAGTCGAAGGAAACCCTCAAAATGAGAAGGCAACTATGATGATGGTGTCTCGTCTCTGCTGTGTTTGCACTTCATAACAAAATGAAGATGACCATCTTCTGGGTTAAAGCACCACGCAGTCTGATAGACATTAACTGACGTTTCAGAAGAGCTCACTGGGTCCATCATCAGTGATCAAACTTAGTAAAAAATACTTTACTGAAAGTACAAAGTACAGGCAGTTTTTGAATCAAAGCTGGGCAAACTTCTGTGTGGAAAAAAGAGATAATTTCTTTTGGTTGCTATGGGATTGTGCATCATGAATTCAACTCCTCCCCCACCAAAGACAAACCACCAATCAGCAGTATTATGCTGATATCCCATTATGTCTATGTGACAATGTCCAACAAAATATCCTGAGAAACAGTATTTCACCATCAAATTTTCAGTATTTCATCAATGAAACATGCAATAACTCAATAAAGTCTCCTATTCTAAATTTATGATATTAGGGAACAGGAAACCGAGAACATATGTTTAAAATGTCGTGAGTTTTAAGTCATTTCATGGCACTTCATCAACAATTTAGGTCACGTCACATAAATTAGATGCAAGAATAATTGTAAACAGTATATCACATTGGACGTGGAAGTACTTTAATTTTTTGTTTGAGAGCTGTGGCGGAAAACCGCGAGAAGCCCGTCGCAATGGCAGGCCCTAGTGCACCAGACCTTTAATCTCCAGAAGGGGTATGTGCTGTCCATATCTCTGTAGAAGAACTTTGTTGTTTTTGATGCATTATTAAGCATATGCTCCGTGGGGAGACCCTGCGTCTGACTGATGTAACGAATCTGGTCATACTCCGATGAACCAGGATAGAGGGGCCAGCCAAGGAACAGTTCTGCCACTACACAACCCAAGGACCACATGTCAATAGCTTCACAAAAGGGGAGACCTGAAACACACAAGTCACCACTGGCGTAACAGTCAAGTTTATTTTATTCATCCACATTAGCGAAAGATCAACATCACACTTAACCACATCAGTATGTTGAATACACAAAAATTACAAAAAACAATCAAAGCAAAGTCGCCCTCACGAAGATGACTGGAGAATGTGCTACAATTGTTACATAACGCACAAACTTCACGTCTTCTTTAACGCAAACAATTAGTTCACTGCTAAAAATGTCCGGCCTGGGAGATAAGCCTGTATCACAGTTGCTGACAGCTCTTCACACTCAGCAACAAAAATATCTTAGTATATCCTGTATGCAGTGTGTATGGATTCTTTTTAGTTTTAAATTTCACACGAAATACAACCGAAGATGATCGTCTTCAGGTATGTTGTGCCACGTAATCTTACAGAAACTGACTGATGTTTCCCAATGAAACGTCAGTTAATGACTATGACACTACGAAGCGCAACATCCCAAAAAATAGCCAATTCATACTCACGGCTGCATGAACCTGAAATCTCATGTAACACACAAATTACAATTATCATTCAAAGAAATGGAAATGGTACCTGCGCCTTGTCGTGGTGGTGGGGCTTGAGTACCTCAGTGACCCCAAGAGCTACTGGTAGGGCCTCCCTAGCCAGATTGGTCGAGGGGGAGAGGTCAGACTAAGACAGGTACCCTGGTCCTCCAGGTCGGAGGTTGGTCGCAAGGCTAACAACCTTGCACCGTAAAGAGGAAGATGTTTTGAATCCTCAATCAAAGCCTCGGACAGACGGACCAGGACCGAATGGAAGAGGAGAATTGAGGAGGCCACGGACCGGAGAGCCACAGAAGAAGAATAATAATTCAAAGAAACGGGCACTAAGCATATGCTTTACGCACCAAGAATAATCTCAGGAGCTCTGTAGTAGCGACTCTGCAGGTAAGTGTTGCAGACAGCTTTACTGACGTGGGACGCACTGCCGAAGTCAATTACTTTGACTCGGTACGGTTGCCTCACTGGATCAACCAACATGATGTTCTCTGGTTTCAGGTCAGCATGGATCAAGCCCAGTTGCTGAAAACAGAAAAGGACAACATCTGACTGCAACAAGCGGGCTGATCCAACGGTTTGTATTTGATGGGATCAGCAGACTGAAATCCAAGACTGAATACCCAGATACTTTTAACTGCGTCCCATAATCTTTCTAAACATACTCTTAAGCGGAGGCAATAATAAGCCCAATCACAATATTAATTACATCACATTATGCCACATTTCTCTAAACAGCTGCGTCTATCAGTCAATTCAACTACAACATATCACAGGACAAATATTTCCTCCACACCTCAAGGTTCAGAAGTGCAGACAAGATTTACCTTAAGTTTCAGAAGCGCAGTCAAGACCTGCTGAAGAATTGGCCTAATGTATTTGAGTGGCAGTGGACTAAACTTGTTCTGTTTGAGAAAGTCGTACAAGTTCTGTTCCAGCATCTCAAACACCAAACAGGTGTGGTTCTTATGCTGGAAGCACTCGTACGCTCGGACAAAATTGAATTCATCGGCATTTTCCTGGCTAAGACGTGACAGGATGCTAACCTAAAAATAAATGCAACATAATTACGCGTGAACATGGCTACATGACTAGTTACACTACCGAGTCAACAGTCAAGGCTGCCACTCAGCAGACCAACACAGAGGAGTCGGTGTGTTAAAATGGAGTTAAGGAAACATTCTGCAAAACAGAGTGTAATACCAAAAGTAACAGATTTAAGTAAATTATTTAAACATCAGAGAGTACTGGAATATCGAGGCAACATTTACTACTATTTACAAACACCAGAATCATATCGTCATTACCAAAACATACAATTGCCATTAAATCAATTCAGACTATCCAATGCCAGGGGTTCTGATATACCTACCCCCCTCCCCCCCCAGTGGAGACGTAATCAAAATGGACTAGGACAGCTATATTCAGATAACCTCAGGGTATCAGCAACCAGGCAAGCTTCCCTGACTATGAATTCATATACTCAACCCTAATAAAAGTATTCAAAATTTCTGCCATCTACATGGGAAATGTTGAAACTGGTTATCACTCGCAGTATCCACACAAGCAACATAAGTACAGTACTGACAATGAATCAATGAAAATTAAGGTGGCACGCACCAGAACAACACTGTAACGCTACTCCTCTGTGACAAAGTTATATTTCAAAACTCACTTCAATCTGTCCTTGTCGAGCATAAGAGGGATGGTTCTTGAGGATCTTGATTGCGACGATCTCATTTGTGCCTTTCTTCCAGCACTTTACAACCTAAACAGAAATTAAACCAATTATTACACTTTAATCAAGAGGACAAGGGAGAAAGAAGGCAAAAGGAGATTACGAAAACAGAAAATACTATTCGATACTTAAATTTTATGACTGGGTAAAGGGAAAGCAGAGGAAAAGGAACTGACATTTCCAGAGATGTCAATGATACTGCTGCTATGGCATCAAAAGGGAGAATACATGGCAAGGAAGCAGAACAGCAACAGCACATTCTAGGGTACTACCCAAGCCTTTGCCTAAAGAAAATGAGGTAAATCATGAAAACAATGTCAGCAAATGTGACTGCCTTCACACACGTCTTGCATTTTAAGACAACAAACAGTACTATCATGACAGCTAACGTAACAAGCAGCTGCTGCATTTGAAGTTATTTTACTTCAACTGTGTCACTTAGTTAATATTGCAAATATCAACCACAGAAAAAAGCCAGTATTGCAAACAGAACTGGGAGAAATGAGATGACATGGTTTACTAAAATAAAATCATACGCACGCCTGAATAAAGGAACAACACTAAGTCCATCTCTTGGATTGGAACAATGTTTCCCAATCTCTTCAGTGAAATAATGACATCAACACCATATATCTATGTAAATAAGAGTAAATAGAGAGCGTTATAGTTACACAAAACAACATATGCACCGTAATTCCTGACAAATATTTATCAGCAATAGTTGTATCAGAAAATCTTCTATAACTGTAATTCACATTCATCTTAACGCCACAACACTCACCTGACCAAAGGTTCCCCTGCCCAAAAACTCCAGTACTTCATACTGCGTGGTCATGGAATACAAAACTTCGTGTTGAACGAGCTGGTAGTCGCCGTCGGCACTCGAGGAGCCCTGGGGCGCCGGGCCGGCGGCTGCCTTGCTGTGAGACGTCGTGTTGGCTGCTGTGGCGTGTGCTCCTGTAGTAGTAGTATCTGTACCTCCACTATCACCATTACCCTCACGCTCGCACGATTTCCTCTGTACGCAAACAACCATTCATTCACAACTCTCACACACAATATACTAGCACATTGCAAACAGCTGTACTACAGAACAAATATTCAGACAATGTTCAATACAGGAAACTCTGTATTAAATTTTTTGTATTATGTACATATTTCATACGCACTGAAGCTGACGTACGGTAGCCCGAGTACGAGGACAAAGACGGTTCTCAAAATGTTGGAGCTTTCTTCATTAAAATACCTTACATGGCTGGTAGACCAAGAATAATTTGTATACTCGGTCATCGTGAAAGCTTCATATCATACGAGTAGAGGTGGGTTGTATGGAAACTTGGGCAGATATCAAACATTCTCACAGCAGTGAAAATGTAGAATGGGTTGTGTAGTTCTGTACGTTATTACCAATGTTTTACGAGGAACATGTCTGCTCAATCTCTAGGGTAAAAATGTTAGAATGGAAACAGATGGAACTTTTCAATAAAATAGTACTGTGCCATGTCTAATGACAGATGACTGAGGAATGGGACAGATTGTAAGTCTTATCTATTTGGTATCATTCCATATGTTTATAATGAACAAACTTATCAATTATCCACCAAGCCACAGCCATAGCAACGTAAATGTGATATAAGGCCAGATACAGGTTCAAATAAGAAACAAGACACAAATTATTTTAGTACAGAGGCAGATGTTCTATTCTTGCATGAGGAACATATAACACAGGTTTTGTAGTATCCCGTGGAGCAAGGAGTCCCAGCTGAAGCATGCAAAGCATTGTTCAACGAGTTATAATATTCAAGGTTCAGTGAAGATTTACTTAAACTGGAGTACCAACTAAGTTTCAGTTTTATGCTATAACAGATATTTTCAATTAGTGAAATGAAACACATCTTACATCTGTAGTTGTACTATAATAGTAAAACCAAATACTTCCGCTTACATCCACACATCCTTTAACATGTCACGTTATGAATATTCATGTTAGTTTATGTTGATTCAAGCAAGAGGAAACAAATTATTTCTTTATAAAAGTTTGGCATTTACAAACAAATTTCACAGCAATTTTGGGAAAAACATGTATTACCTGAAATCTGTTCTGCAGTTTATGATAAGGATAAAGCATAATTTCTTACAACAAACTTACATCAGTACGCTATTTCAACCTGCAGGCCAGCCACAGCGCTCAATCACTACTGATACACGAGGTCCAATCGAATGAAACTTACTTTTTGGCCGCAGCGCTGATACGTGTCCAAGAGCTTTATGGTGGAGGCGCGTATGAATTGTTGTGGCATTCCCCCACTAGGGCTCTTGTGTTGCACATTATTGTTAGTGTTCTGAGTGCGATGCGTGTGGCGCTGCACCACCGACTGATTCACGTTATTAACCACGGTGCCAGCATTCAGAGAGTAGAGGTTATCACCGCCTAAATATTCAACCTGTTGATGTTCCACCTTGCGTTTCTTGTGACCTTGTTGTAACGCCACCCCGCTACTGCTATTGTTGCTATGCTGGGATTGGATGAACATGTCATGCATTCACTGAAAACGAATCACCACAAGTTTACAATGCAATCGAGGTTGTACGTTTGACAACATATCCACTGTCGAACTGCACAGTACCATTAAGACTATGGATACTTGATCTACAGCAGTCAACGTCGTCAAGGAAGGAACACTTTCCCTTTGCTAAATTTGTGTGCATTATTTTAATCCTGTTACTTAAATGCTTATTATAATTACCTTCGAAACTAAAATCAAAGACAAATATGGAATTATTGTCAAACACAAAACAACTTTCTCAAGATGTCCGATCAAGAAAAATTAACACATTTATATATATATATATAAATAACCAATTACGAACACCAATTCTTTGCTGCTTATAACTTAAATATTTACTAAAAACGTGTTTACCTCTCACTCTCCTGTACCGCCACGAAGGACTCTTCTATCATAGTGACAACATCCGGGACAAAGAGGTCCTTCAAATATCAGCCATTTTGAAATGGTGACGGGCGTTTTGTGATACTGTCCTCCGGAAATATCACTAAAACTTCACCCTCATATACTCCACACAAACCATGTACACAAATACATGCACTCCGCACTTTCACGAAATATGTTTTGTATGGGTAAACGAAACATTTACCCAGTATTTCCGACGTTTTCACTTCATGCCTTTTCACACACATACAATACGGTTTATTACGTACATCGGCCACAGAGGGGATATATTGTGGGTTGAAGGGATACTCGGAAATCAGGATTTCAATTATACGTACTTGGCGATACACTTGGCTCTACAAAAAGAACAATTTAGCTAAAACGATTCATGTGAACTAAAAATTTAATTCGCTTAACCCAAAAATTACGTACGAGTACCACGATAATACTTTGACATTTTTAATAACATTTCGATTCCGACAAACTCCATGATACTCCAACTAGAACGCCATCTTCCACCCATTCCTACATAGCAGATGATAAAATAAAATTATTTCTAAATTTTATAGATAAGTACCACCGAATGTACAGCTCTATTCTTTCATAAAACAAATTTACTTGCAATGAAACTTGACCAGTGTCTGAAAATAAATTCTTCATTTACAAATCGTATGAGGAATGTGAATTAGACAGATGATGCATTAAACACGGTGTAATGAATCCTTAATGCGTATTCCGTACATTTGCGTAATAAAAAAGGTGCTGTGTTTATTAGTTCCATATTTATACCACAAAAGGCTGATCAGAAAATGTACACTGATATCAACATTTACATTCCCGCGTTTTAATATAACAAAGTATACTGCGATCCAGCGTTTTTGGCCGCTGAAATTTGTGAATTGGAACCTAACCTCGTGGCAAGTAATCACCATATATGTCGAAACGTAACGAAGATTTACAAGGCGTGACCAGGCGTGACTAGGCGTGACTTGCTATAAAAGCGTGACGAGAGGTCACCATAAGTATTAAGATATGACGAAGATTTGAAAAGTGTGTCTAAGCGTGACGTACTGTAACGGCGTGACGAATTGTGGCCATAAGTGTCAAAACGTCACAAATGTTTTCAAAATGTTACCTAACCTAACAAAGACCAATAAACAATCTTAACCTAGCCTAACCCAACCAAACCTAACTTAACCTAACCTAACCCAACCTATCCCAACCTAACCTGTCGTAACACCATCTAACGTATTGCTAATTAGCAAAAATTAACCGAGCCGTACGTAACATAACGTAAGCGTGCCGAAACGTGACAGTGACCAATCGTGCCCAATCACATAATATTTGTGCTTTGACTTATTTAATTTGATTAAAACGTACAGTTGAGCCTTCAACACGTTGCCACAAAATGGGATGTTTATTTCCAATAGCCAGGCTTTCATTTCGTCCTTCTTTGATGAAGACCTCGGTGGTTTGTCTGTCTGAGTGTTGTGACGCGAGGTGTTGTCAATGACCAGAAAGGAGATTGCAGCGAACAGGTGGCATGTTGTCAACACATCGCAGTCACAAGACAACAATTATCAGGCTTCTACACCACTGCACTGACACAGACTGTACTGACCGACAAAAACTCCTTCCTTCATTGAGTGGTCCGCATACTGGGCTCTCCCTAGAGGTCAGCGGCCATAATCGGTGGATCCAGTTCTAGTTACAAATGATTCAGGGTATTATTTATTTATATCAGCTTAGTTTCCTTTCTTGGAGAAATTAAAGCAGAAATATGAGCCCACCACGTGTAGGTGTATGCATCTTTGTGCATCCCCGTCTAAATTTTGTAAATAACAGACCTTTATGAAATTTGGTACGAAGGTTATGCCATTAGAAACCATCACAACTTCATTTTATTTTCTGTAGTCAATAATAACAATATAGTGGAAGCTCAAACTTGAGAGTTGGGACCGACCTAGTGTTACTAAAATGATTTACCTGAAATAATGTATGACACCAGATGGCCGTAAAGCTTACGCAAACATTCACACCTCTAACGAAATCCACAGTGACATTCCTCTATCAGACTGGATGTAATACTGTGTTCCCAGACAGAAAATGTTTGTTGCAACAGCGTCATTTCATTTTTTTTTTTTTTTACAATTTCAAAAAAACAAATAGAAAACATCTGTTTCAGGGCTGAATCCTATGAATATCCCAGTCCTAAACTGCATTTGTTATGACGTTATAAACACACCATTACAATCATAACAGTTGAAGGGAGGGAATAAATAAGCTCTGGGGTGTCCCATCTGTAGACTAATTTGAAAGGCAGGTCGGCAGTCTTAACGACATTGTGGGGTTTCTTGCTGATAAAAGAAGGGAATTTATGGCGACTCCTTGAAAACCTATGCAAGCACGACTAGGATTATTTACACAGTAAAATATGACGAGAACATTAATTACTGGAGTGGTATAATGCTGTTTGATGTGGGTGGACGCCTAGAACGCACGAGTCAACGTAACAAAAGTTTGTTTAGTCAGACTTTTGAGGCTGATTCTTCGATCACTCTGTAGCAACGCAAAAACAACGTCTGCAGCAAAGAGAAAGCTTAGCGCCCTACTCTTCTGTTTTCACTTTTGAAAGCACAGCGGCTGAGCACAACGATTTTACAATTTCCGTTTTCATTAATTAACGCTACGACACGTCACGAGCTTCGATTCACTTCCCGACAGATCCAAGAATTCTTCTTCAGGCCGGCTCTAGATTTCACCCAGCATCCTGACCAGGGAAGAGAGGCTGGAGCTTGAAGCTGACCCACTCACTGTTTTGCTGAGGTTAAGAGCGCGTGGCATTTTCCCACCACGGCATGAAGCTTAAATGCAGGAGCAACTCTTCCTAACAAAGTCCAAGTGTAACAATTACACCGTGAAAAATACGTGATTGAGACAGCACCGAATTTTAACACCGAGTAATTTAGGTGAGATTTAAGGTTCCCACGGCGAAGAATATGAAGATGGCTGTCTTCTGAAAGTTGAACGGTAGATAGCGACCGACGTTTCAGAGGAGCTTATTTTCTCCGTCGAAAACCAGATGATGTAAGCAGTAAGCTCCTCTGACACGTTGGTATCTTCGTACAAGTTCACATGGCGTTACAACCCAGAAGACCAACATCGAAACCAAAAAATATTTAAACGTAACGCTTACACGCAAATACAATATCACAATCCTTGGTTTGGATAATTTATTCAGTATGACGCCCAGAACAGCCGAGGTAACCAACGACTGTTGCAGTGGGGATAACAAAGGAAATATGGAGGTTTCATCAGAAGAACGATTTCTTGCATCATTTAGGCAATAATCAAGACAAGTCTAGAACACTTATTGTCCAACCATCATTTAATTTAGGTTCTAAAATGACCTCATTTTGTAACCTACATAATCATATTTCACAGACCTTCCGCCTAGCCAGACAAATTTCTAATTATTCACTTGGATCATGATAAAACGGGGTCAGGACAGCATTCAGACGAATGCAACGCGTATGAAATTAGAGGCACCCTAATTCTCGTACTTTCCGCTAGGTACCGCCGCATCACAGAACGACTGCGATATTTTCGTAAACGTTCCTCAAGATACCGCTAGTTACGTTCCACGCGTTGACATAATAGATTATTTCGTGGAAAACCTAATGTCGCTGAAAATCGACCTATCACAAACAAAGTGTTTCGGGAGGGCAAAATAAAAAAAATTGGAACCAACAAAATCTTCTCGGGCAATCAGCCGCGTCAACTGCGTAGTAAACCAACGTTTCGGAAACCAACTCTGTCCCCATCATCAAGGTTCTGATGTGACGAAGCGTTGGTTTACTACGGTAACCAGTTGACGCGGCTGTTTGCCCGAGAAGATTTTATTGATTGTACTAGCCGCGAAAGTCTCCAATCATACAAAATTGGAATCAATAACAAAATGGATGGACATACAGACACGTTCCAACAGACAACCAGCCATAACCTAATTCAGAGACGCGTCCTGTAATCTGGTATAAATTTCAGTCAGTTTACACCAGACATGATGAAACACTCATTTTAGAGGTCCACTATCTTCTGGGGGGGAGGGGGTAAATGGATGGGTGGATGTCAGTTCATCAAAATATCTGTACGAAAGGTAGGGTAGGTATACACTTCTCAGAAGTAATCCATGTGACATAAAAGTATTATTTTACTTCAATCTCTTTCCATTAATACTCATGTTTTACGTATTACAAAATACAAACCAATTAACAATATCAGTCTCTCAGTCTGAACTTCCACTGCAAAACAAGAAAACTAAATTTGTACAAAGTAATTCTGTGCTACTTCATAACATACGCAGACCCCAGACTCAATCACTCACTTTACTGTAATTTGTTACATCTAACACGTGTTACAGTAAATCATGCACAGTGGAATGACCATCAGGTTACTATTCTGAAACCCTGCGTAACAGCATAATAATCATCCGAAGAAAGTGCTGCATTATTCCAGTACCAATCACTTAATTTACTCTACTTTACACCTGTTCAACTGTGAACTTTGCCAGTCTCTGTTTCCAAAACATCGCATTCTTTTCAGTATACCGGATTATATGATCTAGATAATAACAGCAGCTTAGAAAATCAATCAAATAATTCCAAACAGCTCAGTTACACATTTCTATTGCAACTTGTGAAAGAGTTCCACGACTTGTTTCTGAAGTATATACTAACCCCCAGATTAACGCGCACTGTAATTACAGAAATGCACAATAAAGTCTAGAAAAACTGTTATATAGAATTCCACACATTTTCTAACAAAGGGATTATTAAATGATACGACAGTCACTAAATTTCCAGCACATGCACTTTCCTTGAAATTCGCAATTTCGTCTAGCTCCGACTCACTGGTATTTCTTTCGGTTTGACGTCTGGCTTGTACGATGCCTCGATGTTCAGGACTCCGTCAATTCCCAAGAATGTTTTCAAGGAGGAGAGGTCCACATTATCCGGCAAGGACATCTCACGTGTGAACTCCTGCTGCAACTTGTTGCCGTCCTCGGCCTTCCTCTCCATTTTTGCCTGAATGGTGATTATGTTTTCTTTCAAGGAGATACTGATTTCCTCAGGTTTGAAGCCGTCGACATCTATGTTGATACGGTACAGGTCACCACTCTGCACGACGCCTTGGATGGGGATCGATCGAGGAAAAAATCGACGGAACGGAAAGTGCTCGATAAAATCCCGCTCCAGCCTCTCAAATGTACGGTCCAAATCTCGAAACACGGATCCGAAATCCGAACGGCGATGCGGGCTCCACAAGCTGCGCACTGTAGGCCTATTACACGGATTCTGCTGATGAAGTACAAATCGCCGCAACGGCACCATTGGGACTAACCTCTTGCAGTGACGAAGCATGGTTGCTGCGATTATTAACAAACTGTACCAGTTACGTTTTCTTGACAATACAGGTCCGATGTCAACACGTCTGTTCTATATAAATATCAACACTTGTGTGTTCCGGTAATACCTGACTACATGTGTCTCTCCCAGTATTTATACGTGGTTCGCCTTATATACGTCGAAATACGCGTTTCCTCTTAAACAACATCTATTACATCAGCCGATCCTGCCAGAACATTCTAACACTTCGTAGATGTTTCTTACACTGTTTCACCGACCAATGGGAGTATCGATCCGGTTCTTTAAGGCGCATGGTTGGAGCTCAGTTTCTGATTGGCTAGTTCATACAGAATTTTCTAGATTCTGGCGCGATATTTAGAAAACATACCATGATATCTAGTCGTCAATTTGGTAAGCCTAGAGACTGCTGACATTCCAAGTTCAAAATTTCCCAAATGTGTGTACATTTTATGCGATTTGAGACGAACTTCAATGTCTTAAAATTCAAAATCCGCTGGTTCGTTTCACGTTGTGGAGGCAAAACACACAACCACGAGTAGATGGCACTATTGGAAAGGTTTCATGAGACATCTGTCGAGGTTTCTGAGAACTGCCTAGCAATGTAGACACGTTGCTGGATAAATCGATATCAAGTGTGACGTAATAAAATACAAAAAAATAATACATATTTTAAAACTTAATTCTTTAAGACCATTCTAAAGAATATTTAGGATGGCGTATTGCAATAATTTTGGTTAAAATTCTGGACAGTATCCATCGTCTGTTTGCCATGACAAACAACAGATGATGGATAATGTCCAAAATTGTTGTTGCTACATTTCACGTCATTACTTCTTTTAAAAAAAATTATACCTCCCCCTTCTTCGTCCCGGTACCCCGCGTCTTTATTCCAGGGCAAAGAGAGGGTACCTACTGGTGATTCCGTAATTAGGCGAAACGTAGCAACAAAGATTCTGTTTTCTTACGATGTCACACTTGATAGGACCTGTCAAGTGAATAACGAATTGGAGAAAAGGATACGGAAGGAAGAGGCATTTGCTTAATCATGTCACTATCCTCACATTTGCTGCAGAAACCCAAGAAATACGTCAGTCAGATTGGGGGGGGGGGGGACTTTAAAAAAAATCAC